TCCACCTCCCTGGTAGCATTGTTGTGAGCGTGATGATGTACCAGAAATAATTAGTGGATAGACATAGGTTCACTATTTTATTAAAACTACAGGGACCTGTGGGCCTTGGGCTTGACTCTGACATTTTGCACTGGGCACATGACATAAAGCCGGTGATGCTCAGAGCTCAACTAGAGCAAACCATGGGGATGAGAAGACACAGTGAGTTCTGACCTCCTAGTAAGGGGCTAGGGAGCCATCATGCTTTACAAGTTCATTCTTGAGTTTATTTAACCAGTTTGCCTAGTTACATGATGGTAAGTGTTGCTAATTGCTCTGGTTGGGCACTGGCGAGAGCTCTTGTTACTCTTGCAGAGGACCTTGGTTCTGTTCCCAGCACCCATATGATGACTCACAACTGTTTGAAACTCCAGTCCCAAGAGATTCAGTGTCCTCTTCTAAGCAGAAATGCACATACATGCATGCAAAGCACACCTCGAACAAAAATCTCCTCTAAAAATTCACTTTAGAAAATCACTCTGGCTACATGAAATTTATCTGATTTGGTGATTCCTCTAATAGTGAACTAGTGTACACTCTGTGGAGATGGCCATTTGTAGTGTTTCTGCTGCGGTGTATAAGTAATGAGGGATCAATGTACGTGTGGGTCATTGATCCCCAGGTGTGGGAGCTACTGTCTTCTCCTGAGAGTCTGTAGTGAGGAGACTTGTGCTGTGATGGGATTGAGGTGGAGGAGGGTGTCAGGGAAAGGCTTTATGGAAAAGGTGGCATTTGAGCTGGGTCTACAAAACTCCCCATGAGCCTAGACTTGAGGATGTGACAGTCCCCGGTGCTTTCCAGTGGAGCAGAGCCCTCATGGGGCTCACTGAGGGTTTTTGTGGAACAGGAGCAGAGACAAAAGCTGGCAAAGCTGAGAGCTGGTCAGATGGCGCCACCCGTAAAGACAGGTGTACTTCGCCTCTGAGCAGCTGGGCTGGGGATCTATCTGTTGAATGCTTGCCTAGCATGCATCAAGCCCTGAGTATGATTGCTAGTACTATCCCAGCATGAAGGAGGTGGGAGCAGGAAGATCAGAAGTTCAAGATCATCCTCAGCTACACAGCAAGTTTGAGACGAGTCTGGGCTACATAAGGACCTATCTCAAAGGAGGAGGAGGACGAGGTCATTCATTCTTCAAGGATTATTTTACCGATTTGGATGTTTCTTTGTGTGTGCATGTGTGTTTGTGTATATTTATTTGTGTGTACATGTGTTAGATGTTTTCTTTTTTCTCTTTTTTGTTTTTTATTTTTGCAAAAAAGGTCTCTTACTGAACCTAGAGCTCACTAGCTTGGCCAGGCTGGAAGGCCATTGACTGACAGTGATCCTTTTGTCTTTGACTTCCCAGGGCTGATATTGTAGTTGTACACTGCCACACTGAGTTTTTGTACGAAGATCTGAATTCAGGTCTTTGCGCTTCTGCAGCAAGCACTTCTTGCTCCACAGCCCCTATTTTACATTGTAAGTGACAGAAATGGTTGAGTTGATGGTTGCCAAAAGCTTCAGAAGTCATGAGGATTGTCAGATGAGTGAGTTAGAGCCCACACAGATGAGGTCAGAGGTCTGCAGCGGAGCCCATAGGAAAAGGAAGTAACCATTCAGTAGGTGCTGTGGTCCAGGGTGGAGCATGAACAGAGCCTAGAGGCGAGTTGCTGTCCAGGGTGCTGAGTACGTGCGGCAGCTGTAGGTTGAGAATTGTAAGAAGGGCGGGTTTGGGGGTGTGTACGTTGGTTTTGTGAGTTTAGTGTTAGCCACTTTAAGCTTTTGGCTGCCAACACTGAAATGGAACCCAATTCATTCTCTATTGATTTCTTCTAAATTTACTTTGAGTTTAAAAAAAACAAAAAAGGAGGGGAGGGGAGGAGGAAGTAAGGGTTCTTTAGCTTGGTTTCAGGCCCAAGGCCTTATTTGTATCTGACTTGTGGAAGTAGGTTATGTTTAAGAAGTTGATTCTCTCCGATCTTAAAAGATGCTCCTGGATTCTCCCACACTTCTCCTTCCCAGCACAGAGAGCTCGTGTCCACTCAGTGTCCTGCATAGTCACACCTCAGGCCACAGCAGCTCATTAGAGCAGCCACCTTAGCAGCCCCCAGTGGGCCCTCGCCAGCTCCAGTCCTATGTGAGCTTGCACCCCCCCCCCTCCTTCCAGATTACAACTGCACCTTCCCAAGTTCCTGCCTGAGTTCCTGTTTTTGCTGTTTGTTCTTGAGAATTCCTTGGCTCTTCTCTCTCCTCTGTCTCCTGGAGGCTCCATCTTCCCCTCCATCCCCTTATTTTCTTTGTCTATACTGCCACCCTGGGCTAGTTTTTCTAGTATTATTTTTTAAAATGTGTAAGCTTGGGACTGGTTAAGAGTGCTTGCTGCTGGCAGAGCGCAGCTATCTGTAGCTACAGTCCCCAGGATCTTGTGCTTTCTTCTGGCTTCCAGGGACACTGCACACACACGGTGCACTGACACATATTCAGGCAAAACAACTCATACACATAAAATACTAATAAGTAAGCTAACTTTTTCTTCTTGTTTTGTTTTTTCAAGACAGGGTTTCTCTGTGTATCCCTGGCTGTCCTGGAACTTGCTCTGTAGACCAGCTTGGCTTTGAACTTAGAGATTCACCTAGCTCTGCCTTCCAAGTGCTGGAATTAAAGGCGTTCATCACCAATGCCCGGTTTAAGCCAGTTTTTAAAAAAAAAAAATACTTAATTTAAATAAAATGTTGAGGCATGTTTTAATGTAGCTTCAGCTGGCCTCAAACTTGCTATGTAGCTGTCAGTGACTTTAAACTCATGATTCTCCTGCCTCTGCCTTGAAACTGCTACAGTTACAAGCACTGGCACTATGTCTAGCCAGTAATGTATTTTTTTAAATTGTACTCACTTGTGTGTGGGTGCATGCAGTTGGATGTTCATATGGACAACTTGTGGAAGGCCACTTTCTCTTTCCTGGTAACTAGAGTTACCAGGACTGGAGCAGGTGCCTTTACCCACTCACCCTTACTATCTCCGATGATGTATTTTTGGCAGCATAAACTGCAAAGTAGGTACAAATGGCTTTATGTTTGTTTTGTATTACTATTATTATCATTGAGTATACGCGTGTTTTGCCTGCAATATGTCTGTATGTATGCACTACATGTGTCTGTGGAAGCCAAAAGCGAGCTTCAGTCCCTTGGACCTGAAGTTACAGATGGTTGTGAGCCTCCATGTGGGTGCTAGGACTCAAGCTCGGGTCGTCTGGAAGAGCAACAAATGCTCCTAACTACCGAGTCATTTCTTCCTCCTCTGCCTCCATTGTTGTTTGCTTGGCTTTTGTTTTATTTTGAGACAGGATCTCACTCTATAGCCCTGGCTAGCCTGGACCTTGCTATGTACATCAGGCTGATTTTGAACTCAAAGAGGTCCTCTCCCTCTACCTAGACCTGTGAGTGCCCCCATACCCACCTACTTTAATTCTGTAGATGTGGGGTTTACATTCGCTCTCAGGTCAGAAGATCCCATCAGAGCCCTGGAGTCATCGTTCGATGTGGCTATGAGCCCCCTGAAGTGGGCACTGGGGACTGAACTCAGGTCCTCTGCAAGAGCAGTGTGTGCTCTTAACCACATCTCCCATACTGTTTTGATCCTATCATCTTCTACCCAAGTTTGCCTCAGGAGATCACCAGCTACTTGGAGGAAAAGACTGAATCTTGTTCATCTGTGTAACCTCATATGCCTAGCACACACCCATATAGTGCTTGGCACTGAACTCAGTAAGTGTATACAGAATGAATCCATATGTAACTACAGCTTAGGTAAGAAGTGCAGACTTTGATTGATTAGGGGAAAAGAGTTTTAATTATTTATTTATTTATATTTCATGTATGAGTGCCCTGCATGTACACCTGCAGGCCAGAAGAGGGCATCAGATCTATTACAGATGGCTGAGAGTCACCATGTGGTTGCAGGGAATTGAACCCAAGTCCTTTGGAAGAACAGTCAGTGCTCCTAACCCTTGAGCCATCTCTCCAGCCCCAGGGGGTTTTACTATTTGTGTGTGTGTGTGTGTGTGTGTGTGTGTACGTGCTTGCGTGCGTGTATGCATGTACTACGGCCCTAGAAGAGAGGTCAGAGAATGACTTAGAGGAGTCAGTTCTCTCCTTCCATAAGTGGAGTCAAACTCAGGTTATCAGGCTTGATGACAAGAACCTTTATCTGCTGTGCCATCTCACCAGCCCCCAGTTTTATTTATTTTATTTTTTAAAGTATTTAATTATTTATTATGTATACAATATTCTGTGTGCATGTCTGCAGGCCAGAAGAGGGCACCAGACTTCTTTACAGATGGTTGTGAGCCACCATGTGGTTGCCGGGAATTGAACTCAGGACCTTTGAAAGAGCAGGCAATGCTCTTAACCACTAAGGCATCTCTCCGCCCCCCCCCTGTTTTATTTTAAACAATAAAACATTGTAACACTTCCTGTAACTATGGAGAGGGGAGACGAGAGGGCTTTTGGCATAACTACATCCAGGTTCTCAGGCAAGTGGGGATGACTCTCCAGCTCCTGGCTCTGGTTCCTAGGGCATTTTCTTGTTTTCCCTCTGTGCACGGACCTTCTTCTCTGTGTGGTCAGTCAGTCTGAGCCACCAACTCCCTTTTCTCATCCATAGTTCAGGGGAGATTGCAGTCTCTTAGAGTGCTTCATCCTAGCACATGATCCCGAAAGGAAAAGGGGGGACCCCCCAATCTCTCAGTGACAAACTTCAGTGGTTCCGTTTGAGGGATGCACGTACTCATTCCCGGTCAGTCGTGGTAACCAAGGACGTGGGACTAGAGCCTGTCTCCACGCACGAGGAGCGCAGTAGTGGGGCACACGGGGGATGAAGGGCAGCTCACCAAAGAGAAGCTGAGATGCTGACATGGCCACACCGTGAGCAGCAAGTCTGCTGTAGGAACCACCAGGGTCCACGTGGTAGTGGGGCCATGGAGTAAGACCATCTAAGGTTTTCCGCAGGAGCAACAGGTGAGATTGTTGGGAGGCACAGTTCAGATGAGCCTGAAAGCTTAAACATAATAAATAAATAATAAATGAGTAAAATCCATCCAGTGAGTTCAGTCTGTAGAACCCTAGCCAAAGAAAACCTTAAGCTGGGCTTGCAAAGAGAGGCGCCCTGAGTTCGGCGCTTGGATGAGAGCCGCGGTCTGGCAAAGGCAAGGAGGCAGAGCCAGGCAGAAACGGGGGCGGGTCTCGGGGCTGCAGTAGTTATGTCTGAACTGGAACACAAAAGAGAATCTGACTGTTCTCCCCCAGTGCAGAGTACAGCATACAGGCTGGAGTCTGAGTAGATAATAAAACTTGTGTTTGTCATTTTTTCCTTCTCATTCCATACTATCTTCCATCACTTTGTTTTCCTTTTCGTGTGTGTGTGCATATGTGTATTTTTGTGTGTGTGTGCATATGTGTATTTTTGTGTGTGTGCATATGTGTATTTTTGTGTGTGTGTGCATATGTGTATTTTTGTGTGTGTGTGCATATGTGTATTTTTGTGTGTGTGCATATGTATATTTGTGTGTGCATATGTGTATTTTTGTGTGTGTGCATATGTGTATTTGTGTGTGTGCATATGTATATTTTGTGTGTGTGTGCATATGTGTATTTTTGTGTGTGTGTGCATATGTGTATTTTTGTGTATGTGTGTGCATATGTGTATTTGTGTGTGTTGTGTGCATATGTATATTTTTGTGTGTGTGTGCATATGTATTTTTGTGTGTGTGTGCATATGTGTATTTTTGTGTGTGTGTGCATATGTGTATTTGTGTGTGTGTGCATATGTATATTTTTGTGTGTGTGTGCATATGTGTATTTTTGTGTGTGTGCATGTGTATTTTTGTGTGTGTGTGCATATGTGTATTTTTGTGTGTGTGGAACTCACAGGCGTCTGAGTACACCCATGCGCAATAGTTCAAGGTTAGTTGATAAGAGCCATCCCCTATCACACTCTTCCACCTTAGACCTTGAGGCAGAGTTTCTCAAACAAACCTGGAGCTCTCTGATGTCTTGCAATCCAACTTTCTCTGGGGGTCCTTCCTGTGTGTCTGCCTTCTGATGCTGGAATTACAGGCAAGCAGCCATGCCCTGTGCGTTTCCAGGGTTCTGAACTCTGGCCTTCATTCTGGCCCGGCTAGCACTTAACTGCTGAGCTTTCTTTCCAACCCTGTCACCTTCTTGCTTGCATTCAGGGAAAGCTTCACACTCATGCTTAGGTGTCCAAGACTAGACAGAATATGCTCAATAACAATAGTCATTCTCGGGGCAGTAGGTGGAGGGCAGCTCCCGAGGTAAGTAAGTGCTGGGGTAAGGAGCTATTGGAGTATCGGTACCCCTCTTCTCATCCACCTCGGTGCTCACCCACAGGCCTGCCATCCCCAGGTTTCTCCCTCTCCTTGATTTCTTGGAGCCTGGCTATTGGGTTCTATGAAGGCTAAAAAAAAATGTTCTTCAAGAGTGGGAAGGGACAGGGAGAGTCAGAAGCGCACCTAAGAGTCAGCTGCCCTCAGCTGGGCAGGCAGGTATACAAGTCAGAACCAGCTGCTCCTCACCAGCTGGGTATGTGAACTTGAAATCTCCAGGCCCACTGTTGCCTGACAAAACTTTTCTTGGGGAGAGGCTACACACCCCTGATAGGGAGTCAGCAACAGATCAAACTATGGATACCACCAAAGTCCAACTTGCTGAACGAGTGGGACTTATTGGGGTTACTTACAGAAATATGGATGAAGGATTATTTACAGCAGCACTAATGACTCCAAGACAGCTGCATTACCAAAGCCCACCCCAGCATGGGTGACAGCTCAACAGGCTGGAGAGTGTCCTTTCCAAGTGACTCAATTGGTCTAAACCTCTTCCCGGCAGCTGGTGGGGTCTCCAGGTCTTTTAACTCCCTAGTCTGAGTATGACTCAGCAGTTTCTGTTGTTTATTGTTGGGAGGGCGGAGCCTAATGAATCTGGTCAGTTTCAGAACTTACTAGAGCTATTTTGAGCTGTTTACCTTCTTGTTTAAAGCCTCACCCCCACGCCACAGGATAGAATGTTTCAATTTCAGAGGCACCTGCTCCACAATGGCCAGCTTCATCTGTCTCCTCTATTCGAATCTCTCCCTCCCTCCGTCCCTCCCTCCCTCCCTCCCTCCGTCCCTCCCTCCCTCAAGCTGGCCTTGAACTCACAGACACGCCTGCCACTGCCCTCCAAGTGCTGGGATTTACCCGTGCTACTACGCCCTGTTTAAGGTCTTCTCTTTCTCCTTGAGTCAGTTTGAAGCTTTCTATTCATTCACATTCAGTTCATTCACATTTTCAAGATTTTGAGCCACGAGTTGTACCTAGTAGTATTTTCATAATTGGAAAAGAATTATCTCTTGCAAGTCACATCCCTCTTCTCATAGTGTTCTTGTTCTCTGTCTCTGTGTGTGTGTGTTTTCTAGAACGCCATTTTTTAATTACTTCTATTGACTAATCTTTAGATTTTAGTGTACCTAAAGGAAGGACAGTGATAGTGGCACAATTAATTGTATTTAATGGCCTTAGATTTATTGTGTGATGCTGGGAATTGAATCCAGGCCTTATGTGAGACATGTACTTTACCAACTGAGCCATTCGCCAACATTAATTACCAAGTGTTTGTTTAAAATGAAAGAAGGCAATTAGCCGGTTAAGTTGGGTGTGACATAGAAGTCCTGTCATCTTAGCACTTTGGAGATGGAGGCAAGGACGTCAGGAATTGAAGGCCAGCCTTGGCTACATGAAACCCTATCTCAAAAGAGAAAAGGGGGTGCAGAGATGACCCATCAATTAAGAGTGTTCACTGACCTTCCAGAGGCGCAGAGTTTGGTTCCTAGCACTTATGTCGGGCAGCTCATAATCACCTTTAATTCTAGCTTCAGAGAATCTGGTTTCCCAGGCACCTGGACTCTCATGCTTATTCCTACACACAGACACAAACATAAGATAGAATAAATCTTTTTTTTTTTAAAAGGAAACAGAAGAAAAAAATCCTCTTGATGGATCTAAGTGTGGGGGAAAAAATCTAAATGTGGATCTAAACGTGAAAGAGGGACACATTCAGCCTGGTGTATCTGCACAGTTCCTGGTTTTTGTCAGATGTGATAGCAGGGTTAGCTGATTAAAACCCTTATTTAAGCTGGGTGGTGGTGGTTCACGCCTTTAACCCCAGCACTGGAGAGGCAGAGGCAGGCGGATCTCCGAGTTTGAGACCAGCCTGATCTACAGAGTGAGTTCCAGGACAGCCAGGTCTACACAGAGAAACTCAGAAAAATTAAAATAAAACAAAGCCCCTATTTAAAATATATTCTGGGGGCTAGCACGATGGTTTAATGATTAAGAGCACTTACTGTTCTTCCAGTGGCCCTAGGTTTGATTGTCAGTACTCACAGAGTGGGCCACATCTGTGTCCAGTTCTGGGAGAACCTAACACCCTCTTCTGGCCTCTGTAGGCACCAGGGACATAGGTAGTGCAGAACCATAAATGTAGACAAAACACTCATACACATAAAATAATTTTTATTTAAAATTTTCTCATTTTACATATCAATAAGTCATAAAATAAAAATTTTAAAAATTTAAGTATTCTACAAAAAATAAAGTCTGGAGTATTAAAAGAACACATGCATAATTGGTTATAGCCTTTGGCAGGAACAGACTCCCTAAGCATAACAACAAGAGCAGAAATCATTCAGATTTTACTGAGGTGTACTTTCAACATATCAATAAAAAACAAATTAAAAGCCAATCAACATACTTGAGAAAAATATTTGCAGTGCTAGAGATCAATACTATAAAAAGCCTTTGCAAATCAATAAAGAAATATGAATGTTCAGTGTAAAAACGAGCAAAATTGGTCTGGGCATGACAGGTAGGACCTGTAATTTCAACACTGAAGCAAGAGGACTATGGCTAGTTTGAGACCAGCCTGGACTATATGGTGAGACCCTGTCTCAAAAAAAAAAAAAAAAAAAAAAAAACTAGATCCAATGGGCAATGGCGGCAGGAAACCTTTAATCCCAGCACTTGGGCGGAGGCAGGTGGGTCTCTGTGAGTTCAAGGCCAGCCTGGTCTACAGAGCAAGTTCCAGGACAGCCAGGTGCTGTTACACAAAGAAACCCTGTCTCAGAAACAAACAAACAAACAAACAACCCTAGAACGTCAAGATCGTCAGTAGGCAGTAGCATGCACTGCTAGCCCTAAGCCTGAGTTTAGTCTCCATAACACACGTGGAAGGTAAGAACCATCCTCTACGAGTTGTTCCTCCGACCTCCATGTATCTTATGGCAGAGATGCACCCGTTCCAGCATATACACACACATTAGATAAGTAAATATAGTTTAATCCTCCCCCTCAACAGCACAGTATATGGTCAAATCACTAAAGACACGCAGATGATTGAAAAAAAAAAGCAGGGAAGTGTCCAAACCCTGCAACCCAAGAAACTCGAGTGAAGAAACCAGGTCAGTTTTCACTTTCAAATTTGCAAGAGCACAAGAGGCCAGACAGGACCTGGATTTGGCTGTGGCGGGTAAGGCAGGCAGTGGGGGGCAGGAAAGGAGTTGTGGAGAAAAATCATCTGCTGTAAGACAGGTCTGGAGCCAGTGTGGAGGCAAATGCCTGGAACTCCAGCACTCCAGACAGTGATGCAGGAGGCCAGCTCAGCCTGGGCTAGCGTGAGAGACCATCAAGGGAAAGGAAAGGGAGGACCCATGTCCTTGCAGAGGATGACAGAGAGCTGTGAGACTAGGCTAGCCCAACAGCACGGGTGTGAGCAGGCCTTGGCCTGGAAGAGCACGTAGCATGGAAGGATGTTGGGGCAGAAAGCATCCTAAGGAGAGAAAAGCCAAGATGGCCAGTGTTGTAGCGGGCTGCTAGGAGCCATAGTTCAGAATCTGTGACTGACACTGGAGCAGTGGTCCTCAGCCTTCCTAATGCTGGACCCTTTAATAGGTCGTTCCTCGTGTTGTGGTGACCCACACCCACCATAAAATTATTTCATTTCCACTTCATAACTGTAATTTTGCTACTGATATAAACTGTAATGTAAATATTTGTGTTTTCTGATGGTTTTAGGCAACCCCCGTGAAAGGGTCATTTGATCTCCAAGGGGTGTCGACCCACAAAAGCACTGATTTTGTGTCATTGCTAGAGATTGGCAACAGGTTCAAATGAGTCCACTGAAAAACAAGACCAAAAACACAAGCTGGAGAGATGGTTGGGTGGGTGAAAGCCCTTTACATGTAAACCTGAGAATCTGAGTCAAAGCAGGATGCCATTGTACTCATCGGTAATCCCAGCCTTCTTACCACGAAGTGGGAGGTGGAGACGGGAACTGTCCAGGAGACCAGCTAGCCCAACATACAACATACACAGCCACAAAAACCAAGGAGTAAACCTGCCTTAAAGTAAAGGCGGGGAGACAGCTTCGTGGTTAAAGTGCTTGCTGCACAAATGTCAGGACTGACGTTTGGATCCCCCACACAAACGCTGGGTAGCCATGATTGTCTGCCTGTAATTCCAGCCTCAGAAGGCAGAGGTAGGGGGTTTCCCAGAGCAGGCTGGCCAGCAAGACTAGGCATATCCATGCGTTCTGGGTTGGTCTGAGAGCCCCTGCCTCAATGAATATCGTGGGAGATGGATGAAGGATGATCTCATCATTAGCTTGGGGCCCCCATGTGCATGCAAAATAGGAAAGAAACTGGAAAGGCAAAGACCCACTCTGCCCTCCGCACACATAGGCACCTACAGTTACACACATGATCTGGCGCCCGGGAGCCTGCAGTCACAGACCTCATGCTGTCAGCAAGATCTGTGTACGGAGCAAAGGCTTTGGGCACATGTGGATGTCACTGTCCAAGTGACATCACAAGTCCTTCTGCCCCATAGAAAAGACTCTAAGGCCACCATAAGCCCCAGGTTCCTGTCCTGCCAACGTCACACAAGTCCTGGGGTGCCTGTGTTAACCAGAAGTGGGAAACGTGCTATTTCTATCCAGATAGCCAGGCCTCTTATAAGAGAGTAAAACCACATGTGTTCCCTGGAGCCAGGGGCTGAGGTCAGCTCTACCAACCCAGAGTTGGAGGAAAACAGTTCTCTAAGAGAAAATAGGGAGTCTAACCAAGAACTAGAGCAGAGGGGCAGAACAGTATAGCCGTTTATTAAACACACACGGCTTTCTGCTTAACTTCTAAATAATTTAGACCGTTTTCCCTGCTTGTCCCAACGCAGCCATCCATCACAGACTTACGCGGTAGCTGTCCTGTCTCCAGAAGTAGCAAGCGCGCATCCTCATCCCGAAACACATCCAGCTGCACACAGTATTGTGCTGTGTCTGATGAAGTAGTAATCTAGTCTTCAGGGTCTTGCATCCAGAATAGGATGGGGAAGAAAACTGGATAGCTGAAAGAACAAAGTCACTACCCAGCTGGAGCGGGGAAGAGAGGGAAAACACCTATCCACAGCCCACATCTCTGATAGTAGCAAGGATTCTCTGATCCTGCAGTCTGCATCCTTAGTGCTCTGAGGCAATTTGTGAGCCAAGAACTGAAGCCTGCTTGGGCACGGAGAGGGCACAGTCTTAGGGGTCCGTCATATGTTTTCCAGGTTTCTCTAGCAATACACAGGCCTTGATCATCAGGAGGGCTCTCTATCAACTCTCCTTCTTTATCCCCAGTACTCAAGGCCAGAGACCTCACTGGAAGTTGTAATTTTAGAATGGATTCCCTGATGGTGGTGGGGAGGGGGAATGAGAGTTGTCTCTTAGCAACAGGCTGCACTGTTCCTCCCATCACAGGAGCCCAGGCTTGGAAGGAGGGCTCTAGCCAGGGCCTCTGCCAATGGGCAATGCAGGCCCCTAGCTCCTTGGCCCCTTCCTACTCAAGCTGCATCCCCCCAACACACTCCAAAGACGGCTTATAATAGATGTTTCCATGGAGAGGACACAGGAGGGCCGAGGAGTCAGGAGCAGGCAGGCCCCAGACCGCCCTCCCTCTGAGTTTCCCGCCTCCCTCTTTGCTTGAGTTCACTGTAGTTTAAAGCAGAGAACTGGCTCTTCATTATCTCTCAGCCATATTAGATTACTGGTCTCAGCAGAAGGCCTTCTCCAGACAAGCTATTTTCTCCTTCTGCTGTGAGCTCTGCCGAACCACAGTGGGTCTTGTTTGACTTTACTGAAAAGGCCCCAGGAAAGACCATAGCATCTAACAATGTCCTAACAGTTGTCTGCTAATGTAGCTGTCTTTGTGGGAGCATGGCCTTACCTCCAGGGGCTGTGGATAACAGTTTAATCAGTGGACTTGCTGTTGGGACAGAGTTGACCCACTTTTTGTTTCTTTGTATTTTGAGGCAAGGTCTTACTGTGTATGTAGTCTTGGCTGGCCTGGAGCTCACTAGGTAGACCAGTTGGCCTCCAACTCAGCCGAGATCTCCTGAGTGCTGGGATTGAAGGTGTGCATCCACCAACTTTTGACTGGGGGTAAGGGAAGTGGTACTGTTTTATTTACACTCCCCTAGCTTAATTTCTTTCCTTGTTGCTATGACAACAAAAACAACTGACAACTGATGGCAGAGAGAGAACTGAAGTGCAATGTGCTGTCCATCATGGTGGGGGAGTCAGGGAAGCAGGAGCCTGAAGCAGCTCTGCATTGTAGGATCAGGAAACAGGGGGCGTTGAGGGCACGCTGCTGCTCAGTTCCTTTTCCGGGTGCTCACACGACCCCCAGAGGATGGTGCCAGCCACAGTGGGCAGTTCTTCTCACCCCAACAGCTGAAATCAAAACTCCCCAGAGGCCCATTTCCCAGATCATTCTAGATTCTGTGAAGGAGACAATACTAACCACCAGAGGGCCAGGGAGATGACTCAGTGGGGAAGGTGCTTAGCAGGTAAAGATATCACCACCCAGCCTGACAACCTAAGTTTGATTTTGGATCCCAGATGGTGGACGGAAAGAACTGACTTCCACAGGTTAACTTCCGGCCTCCAGATGTGTGCCACGGCATGGTCATCCAACGTACACAAAATAAATGGATTAAACACAAAGGGAAAAAGCTACTGACTACCACAGGGTCTATTACCTGAGAAAGGAAATCATCTTTATCTCTTAATTTCCCAGTCCCCCCTCCCTGGGTACAAAGAACACAGACCCAGTAAAAGTGTAAAAGAGGAGTTGACCATATGCCCCAGTCCACAAAGGGAGACTGACGAAGTGGGAAAGGAAGGCAGACGCCCCAAGATCAGAGCAGCATGCTGACAGGAGGAGGCTAGGCGCTAGGTGGCCATGGCAAGAGATGGTTCTGTATATCCATGAGGAAATGGCAGAAGGCAAGCAGAACTCTCTGGAGCCCATCAGGAAGGAGAGGTAGAGCTGAGTGCAGCCTCAAGGTGTGAGTCAGTGGGAACAGAGGGAGGCCATAAAGAAGCTAGAATCAATTAAGAACAGAAAGGCACAGTACCCTGAGGAAAATCCACCCTGGACAGTATCGCAGCAGCCTATAAAGATGGAATGGTTAGGCATCAGATGGCTGAGAAAGTGGGTGAAGTTCTTGATGACAACTGCATTGTCCTCAGAAGGTGCACCATGCCTGAATTCAGAGTCAGTTAAAATAGGGAAGGCGGTGAGATATGTGAGGTCCCGGCAGGGGTGGGGGTGGGGGGTGAAAAGCCACAGGTGGGAGGCTAGGACAAGAGTTGAGAAGGATCCTGGGTGTAAGATTGGGTGGGCTCCTTGCCAGGAAGGGTGTGAGAGGAAAGAATGTAGGTCCCTTGGAGGGAAGAGCAGAACACTCACTGGAGGAGGCAGTGCCTGAAATGGCGGGCATGGGAACAGTGCCATCTACAGCATCCTAGGTAGGTGAGCATCCTGGTCCCTACAACTGAGTTCTCATGAATCTGCCTACTTGGTGGATGTGGTCTTCAGAAGACGAAGATGAAACATGTTTGAGAATCTTCTAGGATGTCACATACATGAACTGGGGTACGTGGGATACCCCAAGGTTCATATACATGTCTTGATGATTGTATCCACGCAGGCACGTAAAAACACAACCCCCACAGAACACTCTCTACAGCACACAAGGTTCCTTCCCGCCCCTTCCCAATTCACTAGAGACATAAGCCTTTATTCTGACTTGGATTGCTATCAGTTTTGTCTGTTCTTGCCTTCCAACTCTGGAATCTTGCAGCATGTTCTTTTTGGCTTCCTTCCCATAATACTAAACATATTCATCTGTTGTTATGGATACTGCTTCCTTTCTTACTACAGAGCAGCAGTCCATTATGAATATACAATCAATCCATTCTACTATTCTCTTGTTTGGGATCTTCTTAATTCTGCGACAATCCTCATTTGGCAATTCACTTGCCTTGGCCTGCTGAGTGCGGGGATTACAGATATTATGCTATCAAACCTGAATCCCAGTCTGCTGTTGAAGAATGCTTGGGCACTTTTTTGTAGGTTGGCAATCATTGTAATTAAAATTATTTCTTGAAAGCCCGGTGGTGGTGGTGCATACCTCTAATCCCAGCACTTGGGAGGCAGAGGCAGGCGGATCTCTGTGAATTCAAGACCAGCCTGGTCTACAAGAGCTAGTTCCAGGACAGGCTCCAAAGCTATAGAGAAACCCTGTCTTGGGAAATTTTTTAAATTAATTAATTAATTAATTTTTGAGACAGAGTTTCTCTGTGTTGCCCTGACTGTCTCCCAAGTGCTGGGATTAAAGGCCTGTGTCACCACTGCCCGGCTCCTTTAATAATTTTTTAAAAAATAATTCCTTCAAGCCAGACACAGTGGCTCATGCCTGTAATCCCAGCAATCGAGAGGCTAAGAAAAGCAAATTCCTGAAAGTCTGCAGCCAGCCTGAGTTACTTTGTGAGTTCCAGGCCGGGAAGTCTAGGGACTGAAACTCTTTCTTAATCAATCAACAAACAACTTTGTAACAACAGTAATAATTCATTTTTGCTTCCATGAGGCAGAGTCTTAAGTAGATGATGCTAGCCTGTTCCTCTCTATGTAGATGAGGATAATCCTGAAGGTCTCCTTGGCTTCACCTCCCAAGTGCTGGGATTAGAAGCAACTGCTCCATTGACGAGCTTTTTTTTTTTTTTTTAAATCAAACATTCTTTAAAATTTTTAAAAAATGGTTTGTGTGTATGACTGTTTTGCCTGCATGTGCATCATGTACTTGCCTGCTGCCAGGGAAACCAGAAGAAGGCAACAGATCCCCTGGAACTGGAATTACAATGGCTAGGAACAATTAATTATGTTCTGGGAACCAAACCCAGGTACTCTACAAAAGCAACAAGTGCTCTTAACTCCAGCCTTCCAAAACAGTCTTAATTTAAGTAATAATAATAATAATAATAAATCTTAGGCCTAGTAATCTCAGCACTTGGAAGGCAAGAGCTCAGCCTGGGCTACACCTGGAGTACCATATAGTTAGTCCCTTCACTTCGGGGGAGGTCACACTCTCATGCCTAGGTCCCAGAGCCCTCCACCCTAGCTATATCCATGGAACCAGGGTACAGGATTACTGAACCTGGGAGAGGCGGGTGGGAGCGCGGCTAACAGGCTGCTGAGCCTCACTTTTTCTCTTCTAGCCTCCCCAGGCCCTGGCTGTTGGTGACCAGAGCCGTCCTGATCCCGCAGGCCGGGCCGGGCCCATCAGCGGCCCCCCATGAGCGCGCCCGGCTGACCGGTGAGGCGGCCGCGGTGGAGCCGGCGCGCCCAGAGGGCGGCGGGGCCATGGCCTCGCTGGACCTACCGTACAGATGCCCACGATGCGGGGAGCATAAGCGCTTCCGGAGCCTGTCGTCGCTGCGCGCGCACCTGGAATACAGCCACACCTACGAGACGCTCTACATTCTCTCCAAGACGAACAGTATCTGCGACGGCGCGGCCGCTGCAGCTGCAGCTGCTGCAGCAGCCTCCGGTTTCCCGCTGGCACCAGAGCCCGCTGCCCTGCTGGCGGTGCCCGGAGCCCGGCGCGAGGTCTTCGAGAGCACGTCCTTCCAGGGCAAGGAGCAGGCTGCAGGATCGGCGCCCGCGGGGCCGCACCTGCTGCACCATCACCACCACCACGCGCCGCTGGCTCACTTCCCCAGCGACCTGGTGCCCGCCAGCCTTCCCTGCGAGGAGCTGGCCGAGCCGGGGCTAGTGCCTGCCGCGCGCTATGCGCTACGCGAGATCGAAATCCCACTCGGTGAGCTGTTCGCGCGCAAGTCTGTGGCATCTTCGGCCTGTTCGACGCCGCCACCCGGGCCCGGCCCTGGTCCTTGTTCTGGGCCCGCCTCCGCGTCGCCGGCGTCTCCATCGCCTGCCGATGTAGCCTACGAGGAGGGCTTGGCACGCCTCAAGATCCGCGCGCTGGAGAAGCTGGAGGTGGACCGGAGACTGGAGCGGCTGAGCGAGGAGGTGGAGCAGAAGATCGCGGGCCAGGTGGGCCGGCTACAGGCCGAGCTGGAGCGCAAGGCCGCGGAGTTGGAGACTGCGCGACAGGAGAGTGCTCGGCTGGGACGCGAAAAGGAGGAGCTGGAGGAGCGCGCGTCTGAGCTCTCGCGCCAGGTGGACGTGAGCGTGGAGCTGCTGGCCTCGCTTAAGCAGGACCTGGTGCATAAGGAACAGGAGCTGAGCCGCAAGCAGCAGTGAGTAGACTCTGGAGGTCCCGTGGGAAGGTGGATGTTACTCACTTATCCCCGCACGTGTCTGGGGTATCTCCATGTAGTCAAGCTTTGGAACATAAGTTCAGAGTCTGTAATGGTGGGTTCTGTGCCAGTGGGTTCGAGTGTGTTGTGATGATTTGGGGCCCCAGAGTACGTGTGTTTCTTCACCTCCGATAGCAAGCCCAGGCAGCTCTTGCATTTTGGTACCAGAACTTCCCTTTAACCTACTCAAAGAAATGGCTTAGCTCTCCATGTTATCTTGTACTTTGTAAAAGCATGCAGACACAGTTGCATCGCTCCCAGGTATCCTAAGCCTGCTTCCTCCCACCTCCTTGCTCTTGCCTTTTTTTTGGGGGGGGGGAGAGAGGAGTGGTTCGAGAAGGGTTTCTCTGTAGCTTTGGAGTCTGTCCTGGAACTAGCTCTTTAGACCAGGCTGGTCTCGAACTCACAAGAGATCCGCCTGCCTCTGCCTCCCGAGTGCTGGAATTAAAGTCGTGCGCCACCACCACCCGGCTGCTCTTGGCTTCTTGAAGGACTTTCTTGTATTTCTGGCTCTCCCTTGAACCTTCCCTCTGGGGTCAGGTTGCCAGCTCCAGGACTGTCAAACTTTGTGTTCATCGCAGTCCTGGATCCAGCTACACCATGTCTGGTGTAGACTCTGGCTATGTAGCCTTTGAACTCATGATCCTCCTGCCTCAGCCTCAAGCATTCTGGTATTATTGTATTGCATTGTGCCACATTTAGCCTTCCTCTACTCAGCCGTCTTTACTGGTCACCTCTTTGCTTCTCTGCTCTGCAAATGGAGCCTTACAAACTCCATGGAGTCAGATTGGTGTTTGTCCTCATTGCCATGTAAGTTCTGTGCGGGCAGGGATTTCCTTTTTTTAGTTCAGTAGTGTTTCCCCAGTATCTAGAACAGTGCCCGGCACTTTGATTAACTGTTTAACGAATGCATGAATGTGGGTAACTGTGAGGGTGCTGCGTGTTTATGTACCCCTCAGATGCTGGGGAAACTATAGGAATGTGTTATGTTTCTCTCTGTGTTGATGTGACTCCATGCATTTTAATACTTCTGAGAGTACGTGTGTGTTCAATTGGGTCGGTAGGCTTCTTAATGTATTTCAGAGTATGAGTGTGCCTTGAGAGTGGACATGATTGCGTACATAGGAACATGTCGGGGGCTATGTATTGGGCCTAGTGAGGACATCTGTTCACAGCTATGAGGCTCTCAGTTTGTGCCTGGATTTGTGTATCGAGACCACAGGGAACTGAGGATGTCTGCTTTTGCCTATGGTACTCTTCACATGACTGTACAGGATGAGCCTGCCCGTGGCTTATGTCTTCAGAGACCTGGTGTATTTAGTTACTTTCCTTGTTGCTGTGACAGAAGACCTGATGTAGATTAAAGGGCTGCCAGTTTGTTCCCTGGGTCCCATAAGGAAGGAGGGAACCGACTCCTTCACGTCCTCCTCAGCCCCTGCACGTTGTTGGAACACAGTTTTGGTTAAACTTTTGTTTTAGACTTATAGTATTTTTTATGTGTATGAGTATTGTGCTTGAATGTATGGCCTCTAGTGCCTACAGAGGTCGGAATAGGATGTCAGATCCCCTGAAAATGGAGTGGTTGTGAGCCAGTATATGGGTGCTATGGACCAAACTCAGGTCTTGTGCGAGACTTAACAAGTGGCTGAGTGATCTCTCCTGCCACATGTATAAAATTGCATTTAAAAGGGAAAAAAAAGGCAACTTGAAAGGAAACAGGGCTTACTTCAGCTCACTGTTTGGGGAGACAATCATGGCAGGAAGGGTGTGGTCTCACGAGTGTGGGGCAGCTGTACAAGGATTGTTTATAGCCAGGAAACAGAGTGATGGAAGCTGCCGCCCAGCTTGGGTTTTACTTTGTATTCAGTCTGGGACGCGGCCCATGGAATGGTGGATCTTCTCACCTCGGTTAACCCAGTCTAGATGCGTCCTCACAGATGTGCCCAGAGGTTTGTCTCCTGGGTGATTCCAGATCCTGTCAAGTTGATGGCAGTATTAACAGGGGTATCCAGTTGTGTGTGTTCTGAGCGTGTGGAGACTTGTGTGTCTGCTTGTTGGTGTTTTGTGTGTGTGTGTGCCATTGTGTGGACCTGAGTGCTGGGCATCGTCCACGGGACCACGGGCAGACAGACACTCTAGGCCACTGCCTGGCTTTCCTCTGATGAGAGGTTTGAGGGCAGTCAAGCCAGGGGCCTGCTGGGTAAGAGACTGCTCCCGGCCCAGGGAGGTGGTGCAGATTGACCAGTTCCTGAAGGAGACAGCAGCTCGGGAGGCCAGTGCCAAGCTGCGGCTGCAACAGTTCATTGAGGAGCTCCTGGAGCGCGCAGACAGGGCTGAGCGGCAGCTGCAGGTCATCAGCAGTAGCTGTGGCAGCACACCCAGTGCCAGCCTGGGCCGAGGAGGTGGGGGCAGCGCCTCAGGGCCTGGGGCGAGAGGCCCAGGCAGAACGGTGAGTGTGCACATGCCCTGCCTCTCACCCGCTCGTGTGGTCCCCACAGCCTTCCCCCACACCACCCCAACTTGCCTCCTTTGCCTGTCCCCCCTCCAGGAGCTACCCCAGGCCTGAAGTGGGAGGGTGGTCCACCCTGACAGGGCGGGAGTGCCGGCTCTGAGGCCACGGCAAGGCTGCTTCCATAGCCTCAGCCTTCAGAAGCCCCTCTCTGTACTTCTCCGTGAATGAGAGCCTAGGAGCCACAAGCTGGGCCCTGGGAGGCTGGGTGGGTGCATTGGGAGGGATTTGGGAGTCTGCCTGTCTGGACTGTCCGTCTGTCCATTCGTCCATCTTTCCCAACTTTATTCTTCTCTCTCCTCTCCTTCTTTTCTTCTCTCCATCCTCCTCTCTCTCCTACTATTGCCTTCTTCTCTGGCCTCCTCTGCCCATCCCTCCTCTCCCTTCCACTCTGGGGGCTACAGCGAGAACACCATGCAGGCCCAGCTGTGCCAAGCACATACGCTGTATCTCGGCATGGCTCCTCTCCCAGCACAGGGTAAGCCTCGGGCTTGGCCCACCCCACACAGCCTCCCCTCACCCTGGAAGGTCTGCTGGCCCATCAGAGGCTCACCTCCTTCTGTGTCCACCCCCCTGGTGTCACCAGTCTGGCTTTCCATGCTCAGGGCACTTTTGGAAAGCAAACAGTGGGCTCCCCTTGGCTGGTGGTGAGCAAAACGTTGGGAGTCCGGGCGGCCTTGTATCCCTCAGCCTTCCTGTGTACTTCCCACCCACCCCAGGGCCTCCAGCCGTGTGCCAGCTGCATCCCAGAGCTCAGGCTGCTATGACAGTGACAGTCTGGAGCTGCCCCGGACAGAGGAAGGGCCCTCGGAGGACAGTGGCCCTGGGGGCTTGGGTTCACGGGCCCAGGCTACCAACGGTGGTTCAGAGCGGTCTCAGCCCCCTCGTAGTTCAGGCCTGAGACGACAGGCCATCCAGAACTGGCAGCGCCGACCGCGCCGTCACAGCACCGAGGGGGAGGAGGGTGACGTCTCAGATGTGGGCTCCCGAACCACTGAGTCAGAGGCTGAGGGCCCCTCTGATGTTCCACGCCCTGGACCGTCTCTGGCTGGGCCCTTGAACAGCTGCCGGCTCTCAGGTAAGATCTAGGAAAGTGGGCAGAGAATCCAGCCTTCCAGGGTGCTGGATTGTCTCAGGATACAGGATGGAAATGGTACCTCCCTGGCTCTTGTCTGCCTATAAAGTACTCTTCAAGCTTGGAGCGGGCCTGCAATGACCCAAGGATGCTCACTCAATGGGTTCTGTGTACACGGTGGGTTCCATCACAGGTAGAGGAGAAGAGCTGCTTATTTTAGGCTCCGAAGTGCCTGCCACAGAGCAAAGGTTTGGGGGAGTAGCCCTGTATTTGTGTGGAAGGCTTAGAGGGTTAGAGTCGGGTGACCCTCCAAAGGAAAGCTTAGGGCTGGGGAGGTAGTTCAGTTAGGACAGTGCCTATCTAGACTCCGTGAAGCCCTGGCTTTGATACCTAGCATCTCAAACTGGATGTGGTGGTCCACATCCCCCATCCTAGTACTCCGACAGCAGGTGCAGGATAATCAAGAGTGCCAGGTCATCCTGGGCTACCTCGTGAGTTCAAGGCTAGGCTGAAATACACGAGACTGTGTCTGAAAAGGGTTTTGGTGTGTGGCAAAGCTACAGATAACCCTTTTCCAATGAGTAAAATTT